ATAGATACTGGACTGACTATGAGAATGGATTTGGTAACCTTACTGGTGAATTTTGGTTAGGATTGAGCAAGATTCATCGTCTTACTAAAGAAGGATCAAACACACTAAGAGTGGACCTGGGAGACTTTGAGGGGAACACAAGATATGCTAACTACTCTACATTTAATGTTAGTGATGGTAGTACTGAATATATACTAACAGTAGGAGGATACTCTGGTACTGCTGGAGACAGTTTGATTACTACTTCTAATAGTGGTTTTATTCACAATGGAATGAAGTTCACTACAAGAGGTAATGATAATGATAAGAAAGGAGGTACAAATTGTGCTGATGAGTTCAATGGTGCTTGGTGGTTTAATTATTGCTTTCAATCTCATCTCAATGGTCCATATTATTCAAATCCAGCTGCTGGTGGTAACTCAAATGGAATCATATGGTATGATTGGAAAGGCTATGATTATAGTCTCAGGTTTACAGAAATGAAAACTCGTCGTAACAATTAAACATAAATAATGTGTGTGTGACAGGATTGTGTAGAATCAGTTATTAGTTAGTGTATTTAGATTATTTTATTACTTTTATAATAAAGTTATTTCCTAATAATGTTAAACCTCATTAGTGATTAATATCATAATACCCACTAATAACCAACATTCTACCATGCCACCTTGTGATTGACCAATCAGATTGCAGTGTTGGAGGTCAATTATTTTTGATATTAACCTAGCTCGTAAAAATATAAACCTATCTCGTTAAATAATTAATTGATTGGCAGTTTGGTGCTCTACGCTTATGCTCTTATTAGTCCATTTGTCAAGTTTGGTTGATTCTTTACTGGCCTAGCCTGTTAGATATGTCAACTGTGGTCTTATTATCAGCAGCTGGTAGTTGTTTTTCAAGTGTCATGGTAGAAGTTGGTTATACACCTCGGTATCGGTTTCTATGGTATTTATTAACCTCGCGACTGCGTCGCTCGGTTAATAAATACCATAAAAACCTCTACCTCGGTGTATAACCTATACGTGTCATGTTAAACATGTGACCATACCCTCACATAAATACACCTACTACAGGAAATAAGATAAATACATAAACAATGCTAATAGTTTATACTATCAATGAATCAATACAATAGAATATACACTAGAAACTAACAGTCTAATGTACCAATGACTCCTTCAATAAGTGTAGCATGAAACAAGGTATACTCATACAGTATCCAGTAGATACTGAACAATAATAAATACTACTAGTAAAGGGAGTGAGTAAAAGATAAATAGAATAAGTAAAGTATAATAATTAAAAATTATAGTAAAATGATGTATAAGCATCCAGCATACATACATATAATATACTTCAAATACTTTGCTTATAATTACATGCAGATCAGCACTGTTACTAACATTATACTATCACACACATACACTACATTATTAACTCATATATAAGATACAGGTATTAGTAACAATAGAAATGTAAGGACTGCAATTATAATGTTATTAATTTAAAATAAACATTCCAGTAAGTTATGCTACACACATACACTTTCTCTTTCGGCTAGAGCATAATGTGGTCTTAATTAGTTTAAAATTTAAAGATCGAGAGAGATGTGTTGATGTTCAGTAAAAGTTACTAAAAGTCAACAAAATGTTGTTCAATCTTTATAGTCCACTAGTCACGGAGCTAGTGTCAGTGAGTTTATTATAAAAGGAGAGAAATATCACTACAGTAACATCAACTGATAACCTATCACATTATCTTAATAAGTATATAATAAAGATACTATACTGAGATGATGTTAGCTGGTAAACTGATGTACAGTTTAATGATAATAATTGTTATTATTAATACTGTCAATGGAAACTGTCCTGATGATGAGAAGGAGACAACTTCTCCAGTTGTTACCATTACTAACACTAGTGTTAATGCTACACCAGGTACTGTAATGGAATGAAATAATATTGACACTATTAATGAACACTTGTTTATTGTTTATAGAATGTGTAATGCCAAGTGATTGTAAAGCATGGAAAGAACTCGGAATTAAACAAAATGGAGTATATCCTATAAAACCAGATAATGGACCAGCTTTCCAAGTAATGTTTAATTGTATTATACTTAATAATTATACACTATTGGATCACAGGTATACTGTGATATGGAGACTGATGGTAGTGGATGGACTGTATTTCAGAGGAGACAAGATGGATCTGTTGATTTCTATAGGAACTGGACTGACTATGAGAATGGATTTGGTGACCTTGCTGGTGAGTTTTGGTTAGGATTGAGCAAGATTCATCGTCTTACTAAAGAAGGATCAAACACACTAAGAGTGGACCTGGAAGACTTTGAGGGGAACACAGCTTATGCTAACTACTCTACATTCAGTTTTAGTGATGGTAGTACTGAATATATACTAACAGTAGGAGGATACTCTGGTACTGCTGGGGATGGATTGATTACTGATCCTATACATGGCGATATTACTAAACACAATGGAATGAAATTCACTACAAGAGATAATGATAATGATAATAGTGTTGTTAATTGTGCCAATGGTTTCAATGGTGCCTGGTGGTTTAATCATTGCTATCAGTCACATCTCAATGGTCCTTATTATACTAATCCAACTGGAAATGGTCTCTGGAGAGGAATCATATGGTTGGATTGGAAAGGAGATAGCTATAGTCTCAGGTTTACAGAGATGAAACTCGTCGTAACAATTAAACATAAATAATGTGTGTGTGACAGGATTGTGTAGAATCAGTTATTAGTTAGTGTATTTAGATTATTTTGTTACTTTTATAATAAAGTTATTTTACTTTTTAATAAATTTAGGTTTAAACTCTTAGCCTATCATTTTATACAAGCTACCATACACTACATTAATACATTAGCAGGTGCCATCATGTTTGTCACAACAAAAATTTAAGGACTGCAATTACCAACTCTTGATTTATACAAAAATAAATAGCAAACACATTTTAAAAGTTCCAGCAAGAACATGCCATAAAATATTCATAGATTGAGCCAGACACTCTAAAGTTCATTTGAATGCTTACATTTTGTTAAAATAACAAACAGTCCATCTCAACAAGCATCAGTTAATTGCCATCTCATGCATACATGTGTCCACTAGCTGATGGACACTTAAGTAGTTTAAAATTTAAAGATCGAGAGAGATGTGTTGATGTTCAGTAAAAGTTACTAAAAGTCAACAAAATGTTCTTCAATCTTTATAGTCCACTAGTCACGGAGCTAGTGTCAGTGAGTTTATTATAAAAGGAGAGAAATATCGCTACAGTAACATCAACTGATAACCTATCACATTATCTTAATAAGTATATAATAAAGATACAGTACTGAGATGATGTTAGCTGGTAAACTGATGTACAGTTTAATGATAATAATTGTTATTATTAATACTGTCAATGGAAACTGTCCTGATGATGAACCCCCTCCTCCTCCTTCTCCTATTCCTGAAGTTCCCTATGTCATTTCTGGGAAATTTTATTCACCATCAAACACTTCAGTGAATGATGCACCAGGTACATGATAAAGTATTGAAAAAGTAGCATTAATTATTTTACTGTGTATGATATATATTATATGAAGCTCTTTCTTTTATGCATAGTGTGTCCAATGGCACGTGATTGCAAAGAATGGTACTATGATTTGGGAGCTCAGAACAGTGGAATATATACTGTAAAACCAGATGATGGTGAACCTTTCCAGGTATACTATTGTATACTGTACTGCTATATCAAATTATTGTTCATTTAATAGGTTTATTGTGAAAGTGGATGGACTGTATTTCAGAGGAGACAAGATGGATCTGTTGATTTCTACCGGGGGTGGACTGACTATGAGAATGGGTTTGGTGATTTGAATAGTGAGTTTTGGTTAGGATTGAGCAAGATTCATCGTCTTACTAAAGAAGGAACACACAGGCTAGATATTTATCTCACATATAATAGTTGGTACACTGATCATGTTGTGTATTCATCATTCAATATTAGTGACCGTGACACTGAATACACAATAAATCTACAATACTCATACGGATCTGCTTATAATTCACATAGATATTCAGAAAATCCCAGAACAATTGATGATTCAATGACTGGTAGGGACTCTCTTAATGGAATGAAGTTCAGCACAAAGGACAATGATAATGATTATCACCGTGGTAACTGTGCTGAGGTGCATCATGGTGCCTGGTGGTATAACAGTTGCTCCGACTCTAATCTCAATGGTCTATACTCTGCAACTAATGAGACTGGAATATTTTGGAAAGATTGTGAGCCAGAGACTGAAAGTATACGATCAGGTACAAGGATGAGAATTCGTCGTGACAGTTAAATTATGAAAATATACTGTGGAATGGATCAGTCACTGGACTTTTTTGTGTGTGCCAATTTAAACAATTATTAGTTAGTTTTTGCAGAGAGACTTTATAGTGATTTTTTGCATTAATTTTTGTAGTATTTTTTTAGAAAAATTAGTTGAGTGATACAAAATTATTGATAGTACAAAATATATATGAACACACACCACAAAATACAAGCAACAACAAATGAAGAAATGGTGAATGTATACATACACTTTGACTACCTGTACAATAAAGTACAGACCAGTGCTTCCATGCATTGCTACTGATTGTGAATTAATTGCTTTCAAAATGACATCATACTGTAGCTATTTATTGATATAATTAGTTGTACTAGTCATTTACTGCACATGTACATGTGCAAAATTTACTATGAGCTAATAAAAGGAAGTTAAACTATGAGAAATATTATGTACACTTGCTATGAATGGGAGGAAACATATCTTAATGTAATGGAGTATCTTTTGTGACCATAACTGGATCTACAGTACACTAATCTTATTTCATAAATAACACTAGTGAATAAATTTGCAAGCTTTATTGTAAATTATATGACTCAATTTTTTAGCATAGCAACAGCAATACTAACAGTACAAGTTGACATGTAGCATTATACAGTACATGAATGATAGTACACAACACAATGTCAGTAGGAATGTGCAAAATAAACAAAAACAGTAAACTATGTTGTTGTGTTTTTAGCTTATCTCCTCCACACTTCCTCCTTTTTCCCTCATCTCATTCGCACTAACATAATTAATAACATACTTACATATACACATAGTCTACTATATTAACAAAATTGTGTTTTTAATAGGATAATTATGTTAGGAACGTATTTATATACACTAAAATAATATTATTTTATGATAGAAGAAGAAACATTTTTATAATTCAGTAGTCATTCTGTAAAAAAACAGTCACTGCTTAAGATTATAAAAGAAGTGCTGTAAAGCAAATTTTTACAAGTAAAAAATAAACTCCTGATCAAGATGATGTCAGCTGGTAAACTGATGTACAGTTTAATGATAATAATTGTTATTATTAATACTGTCAATGGAAACTGTCCTGATGATGAGAAGAAAACTTTTCCAGTTGTTACCATCACTAACACTAGTGTTAATGCTACACCAGGTACTGTAATGGAATGAAATAATATAGACACTATTAATGAACACTTGTTTATCATTTATAGAATGTGCAATGCCAACTGATTGTAAAGCATGGAAAGAACTCGGAATTAAACAAAATGGAGTATATCCTATAAAACCAGATAATGGATCAGCTTTCCAAGTAATGTTTAATTGTATTATACTTTATAATTATACACTATTGGATCACAGGTATACTGTGATATGGAGACTGATGGTGGTGGATGGACTGTATTTCAGAGGAGACAAGATGGATCTGTTGATTTCTATAGATACTGGACTGACTATGAGAATGGATTTGGTAACCTTACTGGTGAGTTTTGGTTAGGATTGAGCAAGATTCATCGTCTTACTAAAGAAGGATCAAACACACTAAGAGTGGACCTGGGAGACTTTGGTAACAACAAAGCTTATGCTAGCTACTCTACATTCAGTGTTAGTGATGGTAGTACTGAATATATACTAACAGTAGGAGGATACTCTGGTACTGCTGGGAATAGTCTGGCCTATCACAGTGGGAAGAAATTCTCAACAAGAGATCGTGATAATGACATTCTCTCTGATACTTGTCCTCAACGACGTGAGGGTGCTTGGTGGTTTGAACATTGCAATTTCTCTCATCTCAATGGTCGTTATCATACTAATCCAACTGATACTAGTGGCGAAAATGGAGTTCATTGGCGTAACTGGAAAGGTGATGGTTATTCCCTGAAGTTCTCTGAGATGAAAACTCGTCGTAACAATTAACTGACATTGATACCTGAGTGTGTGTGTGCGTGTGTGTGAAACTGATACAAAAATTATAATTAGATTTTTCCAGAAATTATGTAGTAATTTCTATTGATCATTTGTGCTTTTAGTATTAAAATAAACATAAACATCATAAAAATCCTTACTGAAAAAATCCTCTACTGTAAATCCCCTATAGTAGGCGAATACTATGATTGATTAATAATGGTACTTAAATACAATGGAACAAAATTCCCTAAACAAGAAATAATGATAACAATAACACATGAGAATTATGGTGCTAGTTACAATTGTGCTTGGGCAGCCTGGTGGTTTAATGCTTGTATACAGTCACATCTCAATGCTACTTATTATACTAATCCAAGTGAAGCTCATCCATAAAGGGGGATGTTGTGGTATGATTGGAAAGGATATTACTACAGTCTCAGGTTTACAGAGATGAAAACTTGTCGTAACAATTAAACATAAATAATGTGTGTGTGACAGGATTGTGTAGAATCAGTTATTACTTAGTGTATTTAGATTATTTTGTTACTTTTGTTATAATGTTAAACCTCATCAGTGATTAATATCATAATACCCACTAATAACCAACAGTGTCATGTTAAACATGTAACCATACCCTCACATAAATACACCTACTACAGGAAATAGGATAGATACATAAACAATGCTAATAGTTTATACTATCAATGAATCAATACAATAGAATATACACTAGAAACTAACAGTCTAATGTACCATTGATTCCTTTAATAAGTGTAGCATGAAACAAGGTATACTCATACAGTGTCCAGTAGATACTGAACAATAATAAATACTACTAGTAAAGGGAGTGAGTAAAAGATAAATAGAATAAGTAAAGTATAATAACCAAAAATTATATTAAAATGATGTATAAGCATCCAGCATACATTACATACATATAATATACTTCAAATACTTTGCTTATAATTACATGGAGACCAGCACTGTTACTAACATTATACTATCACACACATACACTACAATATTAACTCATATATAAGATACAGGTATTAGT